AAGAAGTTCCAGATTAATACCTGTAACAATCCAGGAGAACTATCTACATGAAGATATTGGATATTAATACTTGTAACAAGCCAGGAAAATTATCTCTCTTTCTCAGGTCAGAGATTAATACCTGTAACAAGCCAGAACAACTATCTCAGCGACCGACAATTTTCAAGTTCCAGATTAACACCTGTAACAAGCCAGGAGAACTATTTGTGGACGACCAACTGTAGGATTAATACCTGTAACAAGCCAGGAAAAATATCTACATAAGGAGATTGAAGATTAACACCCGAAACAAGACATGAAAACTATCTTTATTTCTTGGGTCAAAGATTAATACCTGAAACCAGCCAGGACAACTATCTGTGGATGACCGACAATTTTCAAATTCCAGATTAATACTTGAAACTAGACAGGACAACTATCTGTGAACAAGCTGATTGTAGATTAACACCTGAAACCAAACAGGAAAGCTATCTACATGACCAGACAAAGCAATCTTACACGAGTTTCTTCTCATACAGTCTAACACGGGCTCATCTTGAAGCAGCCCTACACAGGCTCTTTCTAATACATTTCCAAATAACGGTTAATTCCATTATCCCCAGCAAATTACTGGAAACCTGGACTTCAACCAAAATACAGTAAACTGTCATCTCTCCAGAGATAACTCTTCAACAGAGCCTTGGACAACTGAAGTTGCTAGACTCTATTCCCCATAGAGTTTTCCTCAAACAGGAGAACAACAGAAACCCACATTCCACAATGGACTCTTCCTCAGACAGCAGGAACAGCAACCCCCAAAGGGACCATGTGTGAAATCAGCATCTACTTTAGATGGCATCTTTAAGCCCATCTCCAACGACTCTATGTCATCTCCTCTAAATGGCATCTGTAAGCCCATTCCCGACATCATCAACCATCAGTGTTATTTCATGCAAGCACAAATTTCTGGGCACTCTAATATTCAATCATCTTCCACCTTCAGATCACGAAAGGCAGACAAGCTAATCTAAATCCTCAAGTTTAAGAAGATTGAACAAGGGCAGCTGTTGTACCCCAAAATTTGCCCTCTCATTTTTTTCCAAGATTTTTCTCTTACATAGGTGATTACAAACACTTGACTAAAGGAAAAAATAATTTTTTTTAAAGATAAACAAAGTCTTTCGATTGGCATCTTGACCGGCTTCGGTTGAGCGCCTAACCTCCTCCAAACTTGCCTCACATTTCCAAGATTAGATTGAAGCCTTGGCCTTTTGCTTGTTTGTTGTGTACAAGCTTCGACTAGGCATGTGTTTCCTTTGAAACAGCCTCCTTCGATCCAAAAGTGAAGGGCCTCCTGTTAGTGCTCCTTCGATTTCACCACTGGCTTTGCATGCTGGCTTGATTCACAATGCAATGGCTACATGTATGAAGCTTAATTCCTGCTTCGACTGGGCATATATTTCCTTAGAAACAGCCTCCTTCGATCCAAAAGGGAAGGGCCTCCTGTTAGTGCTCCTTCGATTGCACCATTGGATTTGCATGCTGGCTTGATTCACAATGCAATGGCTACATGCATGTAGCTTAATTCCTGCTTCGACTAGGAAAATACTCCCTCTGTGTGTGCCTTCAGCGCACAAAGCAATAATCCCCTGCAAGCTCCCTTCGACCCACCAGTAGTGACCTCCTGCATGCTTACTTTGACCCACTAGACAAAAGACTTCCTCAGACTTGCCTTCGATCCACAAGGCCAAGGCCCCTTCAACTTGCCTCTGTGTTTGCTTTCGACCCACAAGAAAATGACTTCCTCTGGGCTTGCCTCCAATACGCAAGGCAATGGTTTCCCTTCATGCCAGCGCCCATAAAGTGGTGGTTTTCTTTTATATGTGCTTCGATTCATTAAACAATTGGCTTCCCTCATGCTAGCTTTGACTCCACCTCCAAAATATTCAACACACAGTTTTCCACATTTTGACACCTAGTATTGGCGCATTCGAAGGACAAGCACATGGTCCATTCGAAGGGCATATATTTTCCCTATTCGAAAGACATGTATTGATGGATTTAAAGGGGCATACGTGGGTGTTCCATTTGAAGGACTTACTTTGTTGGCTCATTCGAAGGAATGGAAAGTGATGTATACAAGTGATGCATGGGTTCCCTTCAAAAAAGCACACACATTGGTTCAAAACGAAGGATATTGCTAGCCAAAATGAAAGAAAAATATTCAAAGAGTCCTGCTGGCCAAAAAGCCAACATACTGCCAATTTTCAAGCCAACACGCACAAGCACATTCATGCTAAAAGAAGCTTCGATTGGTCAGGAAAGAGTTTTCATTTGGGCTAGCTGAATAGTGGTTCAAACGAAGAAGCCCCCGTGATGAGAACATGAGCCAGTCGAAAGGTACACAAATGGTCCATTCGAGGAGGCAACCAAAGGCCCATTCGAAGGGTACACAAATGGTCCATTCAAAGGACCCATTCGAAGGAGCCAAAATGTCCAGGTTCATTCAAGTGGAAGATATGGAAGAAGAGGGGCAGCATGGCCCCTATTTGTAGATATTGACATACGAGCTTGAACGCCCGCATAAACGCAAGCGCGCTCGGGTGAAGCTGAGAGGGCGCCAATTGTAGCCACTAGAAAACCCCCACTTGGAAGTCATTAAAGGGCAAACACATCCCCACCTCCTTGAAAGCAAATTTGTACATAGGGAAGCACTTTCCCGGATACGCGGAGCATATTCTCCTGTTACAATGAGGGATTTGTAGAATCCAATTGGCGGGGAGCCCTCAACCCGAACCTCCGAACAGTTGAACGCGTCTGATGCATTGTGCGTAAAGCACAACCTCTTATTTCTAGGTTCAGGTGCGACCCAGGCCAAAGGGTCCTCTTCGACATTGGTTTCATCTTCATGATCAGCGGGCACGACATCCTCCTCGACTGGATATGCCATTATACCTGAAAAGTAGGGAAAACAGTGAATTCAACATCATTAAATTCATCCTTCCATCACAAATCAAGTGAAAGGGCGATGAATTCGTCGAGGAACAGACTTTGACCCAAGCCCTTGACTGCTACACTGAAACGAGCACGGGGACATTTAGTCAAAAAGGCACGCCGCCTGGATCATCTCCACTATCCGGGGAGAGTGTCCCTGATACCATGAACTTCGTCCACTACCATGAACTTCAATGAACATTCGTGGATGTTCATCATAGAACCCATGAATGTTCATCCAAGATTCTTCCAATCAAGACGAAAACTAAGCATTTAATCTAAAAATTCTAAAGAAAACATGGTGTTAGGAGGATATGACTTACTTGAATAAGAATGTCTTGAAGAACTTTAGGGAGAAGCTAAGAAGAGGGAATCCACGCGCGAATGAGGAAGATTGCAGAAAGCTTGAAAATAACAAATGAAACCTTGGGGTCACCTTTTTATAAATGGCTCACACTCCGCGAGGTTGCACACGAAAGGTCATCATTAGTTTTGGCCTTTTGGACTCCCCATGAAAAGATGGCACCCCAAAATGACAGCCACGTGGCGCAACAAGCAACCACGTGCCCATCCTCAAAAGACGAACATATCCCCGACTTCCACACAAAACGTTATACACGAGCACGACGGAGACCTCTTGCACGACGAAATACTCGACATCATAACTAAAGCATGCATATGGGCATATTCATCATGTGTCGTTCACAATGAAAAATAACGCTCAACGTCATAGCGATACTTTGGCAACGAGCGAATCGAAAAAGAACCCAGGGAAGCTCCCTGCGGCCTATGCATTCCTGACGGATGCCGGTTGAACAACTTATCCCCGACAGAGGCTTACTATCTCTTTTCTCGAGCAAGTTCTCCCCGACCGTGAAGCTGAACTTAAGTCATCACCCTTTCACCTAAGGGCAATAACTTGGGGGCTCCTGATCTGGACTGGGTCAGCGCTTGCCGCACCGTTGGGGAGGCCCAATCCAACACCTTTGCATAAGACCCAAAGGCAAGAAGCCCAAGTTGGGGACCGTTGGGAAACTCCCCACGTGTCCGTTAGGGAACGTAGCCCACGTGTCCATATCATCATAATCATCATCCTGTCCTCCTAGAATAATGGGTCCAGCTTATGCTTTCTCGGGGCAGTTGACCAGGGGGGAGGCCACGTGCTGGACTCCATACACACGTAAGCCTCAGCAGTCTTTTTTATTGGGCCTTATTGTGGCCCAACATTGGAGACTTTGGCCCAACGCTGGGGGCTATAAATAGCCTCTCACTTGAGAGGGCCAGGTATTGAATCATTCACACTCTCATACTCACTTACTTGCATTAAGCTCTGAACCTCATTTTAGCATCAGAGTATCTTGCAGGTACTCCCCAACTCCACCGTCAACTGCTGCTCGACTCAAAATTTGTGGACTTTGACAATCATTCTGGTCAGGTACGATCAATATATATATATATATATATATATATATATATATATATATATATATATATATATATATATATATATATATATATATATATATATATATATATATATATATATATATATATATATATATATATATATATATATATATAGATAATTTTATCGTGCGATTATGATCATTGAAGAATGAACCCAAAAAAAACTTGTATGCAAGTGAGCAACAATATGATTTTAGTAGTTGAATCAGTATTATATTGATGAGACATCTAATTGAGATGATTGAAAATAGTTAACAAAAATGAGCAAGTTCATGTGTGATTTTCGCTATTTAATTTGTGTGTTTCACAAAATCTAAATGCATGATCAAAAGTTTGTTATACTTGTCACAAGTAAATCAAAGAAAAACTATCATATGTTAATTTAAAACTAGAAAGGCATGAGTTGTATATTTTCATGATCAAAACTGATTCGAACACACTATGGCAATTTTAATCACATTTTTTACATGGATTTTGCCATAAATTGAAGTTCTTCAATTTATTCATTTGAAAATTCTAATTCTTTCAACTATAGTAACTAGACAAGCTTTGTAGAGAGAATGCAATTCGGTAGCAAAATAACAATATGTTTGTTGATGATGATCATAATGTGGTGTTACAAAATTGAAGGTAGAGAGCCTGCGTTACATAGGGTTGGAGGTGGAAGGTATACTTGGCAACCAAAAGTTAACTTTACGAATTGGACAAGTTATGAGCATTTCTACCAGGGTGATTGGCTATGTAAGATCTTTCTTCAATTTTATCATCTTTTTACTCATTTATAGTGTTCTTCTAATTAACTTATTTCTTTCTGTGTTCATAGATTTTGGTTTTGATAAAACCATTCATAGTGTTCTTGAGGTTAACAAAACAAATTATGAGAACTGTATTGAAACGGATTTCATAGACAACATTACGAGAGGAGGAAGAGATGTTGTCCAACTCTCGGAGATGAGGATGTATTACTTTATATGTGGTAGAGGTTTTTGCTTCAATGGAATGAAGGTTGAAATAAATGTTGAACCAGATCTACCACTTTCTCCAACCATTTTCAACAAGGCTTCTTCCGCAAGAAAAATGAATGCCATTGTCATGCTTTTGTTTTCTGTAATAGGTTTAGCATGGATCTTCATATAGAGAGGAATTGTAGTTTTTTTATGAACTATATATATAATTGTAGTCTCTTTGATGTTTGCACCCCATCTATTTCCATAACTTGTGTTTGATTCTGTCTCCATTTTTACTTTATGAATTGGTTAAATAAATTTTCAATTTGGTCTTGCAAGGGCCTCCAATAAAGACTATTAAAAAAGATATTTTAATTTAATATGATTTTTTTTTTAGTTTTTTCAAAAACAGTTTTTATTTTTAAAAGAGATATTAAAAAATCTTCTTGTTATAGATTTTAAAAAATGATTTTAATTTTATATTTTTTAAAATAATTTTTTGAGAGATTATTAAAATATGGTATAAATTACTTTAAACTCTTTAGATATAATTCAAAAGTGTAATTTTGATATTCATTAATTAAAATATTCATTATTAGAGATATTAAAAAATAATTTTGATGAGAAGTAACTCAAAATAATTTTTCATTTTAAATATATTTTTAAAGTTTGTTCATCAAAATAATCATAGTAGAAAAAAGAAATAATAGAAAAAAATAGATAAAGACTTATTTAAATCAATTTTTTATTTGAAAAATCATCTTAAATTTTTTTTAACAAAAACATGGATTGCAACAAAAATAATTTAAAATAAACATAAGAAGACAATCATGTTTTAGAAAAAAAAATGCAAACCGTGATTTAAAATATTATTATTTTTCTGGACGTAAAAATAGTAACTTAGTATTTATGCCAATAAAAATCACAATGAGTCAAAAAATTAGAAGGTTATTTTGTCAACTCTTATATGTGCTTCTCTACTAAAAGTTTCGATTGCCTTTAGCGTTTGAAGATGTATCTTTATATGCATCTTTTTTAAGTCATTCTTCAGAGAAATTCAAGAGAAATTATATTATGCCAAAATTTAATCCGGAGATGCATCTTCATATGCGTAAAAGGTAAGTTCGAAGATGCATATATATAAACACCATTTATTCAAAAATTAATAGGTGGTCCGGAGATGCATCTTCAGACGCTTTTGTTTCATATCCTCGTGTTAGACTCTTCCCTCTACCTCCTTCTTTATTTTCTAATAAGTTTTCAAAAAATATTTTGAGCTCTCACATTCATTCAAACTTCTTATCCATTCATTCAAGCTTCGACCATTGAAGCCCTTTCTCCCCCTTTCAAACATCTCATACATTCAAGCTTCTCTTTCTTATTCATTTGATTTGATAAGTTTTTCAAAATATTTTCTCTTTTTATATTTTGATTTATAGTTAGTTGATTAAGCTATATTAGTTGTTTAAGGTGTATTAGATAGTAGTGGAAACGAAATAGGTAGCATACAAGGACATGCATTGACATTTGTTTATTGGATTAGGGCAACAATGGCGTTTCTGCCATGGTTGAGAATCACAATTTTGTCAGGAGATGCATTTCCGAATTTTCTCAATGTTATTTTCGAAGATGCATCTCCAGATTTGTGTCAGTGCTGACATATTTTTTCTCCGTGTTTGTTTGTAATGTATGTGCTAGGGATGAAAACAACTCTGGTAGAATTAGGCTCGATCGTGTGTTCCAAATTGCGTCAGTACGACGTGAGAGGATTGTAGCCAGGACCACGAGGCTACGAGTCGATGATAACTTGTTCTTCTTAGACGATGACAACTTATCTAGAAGGGGTGAATAGATCTTCAAGTAAAAAAATTCTTTTAAAAATCTGTTTTGAAAAACAAATGAAAAACTATGGCAAGCATAAGATTTTGCCTAGATCAAACAAGTCGTCTAAATCGAACCGATTATTAAAAACTCGAATATGCGTAATATATTGAATGAAATACAATACAATGATAAGAAACTTAATATAATAATTTCTCAATCAATCGTTTTACTATGATCACAATTGTTAACCAATTTCCAATGAAATTATTGATAAAATTAAAACAAGCAAATTGTCGAACACTTGGCATGCAATTGATTTTTCAAATTTTCCCTTTGAATTTGTTGATATGAAATATGACTTACAATCTATTTGATTGTAATATATTCAACAAAACAATTTTTAGCAATCAAAGGATATATATCATTTACATTCTATAGCAAATTGTTAAATCATTGATTGTGTAATCAATTCACACACACACACACACATATATATATATATATATATATATATATATATATGGAGAGAGAGAGAGAGAGAGAGAGAGAACATAATGATTTGTTTTGGAAGTTTACTAATCTTCCTCGTTATGACTATGTTTTCCCCCAATTCCGTTTGAAATTGAGATAAGAATTCTTACTATACAAAAAAATTGTTTACAAGAGAAATATATAATTTCAACCCTACAAACCCTATGTTTGATGTTGATTCTAGCAATTTCTCTTCCTTTGACCTGAGTTTGATCAATTCACGCAAAAATACCAATTTGGTTCACCGTCCTGTGCTACTCCTTTGCAAGAAACCACCGTTCTTCAAAGCTTTCACTCGGCCGAATCCAAATTGCAAATTGTTGTCACCCAAAATTTCCAATCAATTTACCGTCTTACACTACTCTTTTGCAAGAACCTCCCATTCTTCAAAGCTCTTCACTCAATCAAATTTGAATTGAAAAACCTCATCAAAATCCCCCAAATCAACACTTTGATCTTGGTGAAAAACCTTCACAGTTTTTCCAATGAAACCCTACAAAATTCTCAACCCAATCTTAGGTTACACCAACCTAAATTGAACGTTATCAACACAAGTCTAGATGGAACCCAAACAAAAAATGATTACGTGTAGTTTGTTTATGTGTATGCAGAGATGAGAGGTTGAAGATGATGAGAAATCTTTGTGTTAATACCATGTTTTTGGATTGGCATATTTTTTTCTATAACATGGTTTGCCATAACAGGTTTGCTGTTATGAGATTTTCAGCCAGATGTCAAAGACAATGTCATGACATCTTTGTCTGGTGCAGGTGGTGCTGCAGTTTGGTTTATTCTTGACATATCATTAATTGATTTTGTGAGATTTAAGTTGTTTATATCTCACTGATTTATCGCAGGTCAAGGATATTTAAATTTGGAACAAATAATATTTCCAACTGTACACAGGTTGTTATAATTGGTTGATTGAGACTCATTAGGAAACCTTGTATTTTGTTCCAAGATTCAAGGAGATTTTTCTGCACTGATTTATGCAGCCCTCAGCATGGACAACAAGGAATATTTGAGTGCAACTGTAAGGACCTAGAATTGTTGAGGAGTATTTAAAGAAAATATTTAGACCTAATATCAACAAAAAAAGAAAATATGAAAATAAGGGGAAGCCGTATTTTCTCACTCTTGGAGTCTGAGGGTTCTTCAAGGAAGTTTCTATTTTATTTGTATGTCCTCGTGCATCTCTTGATGCATTTGAGTTGACTGATTGTTACTTGAAATTTTATCAAGTTATTGTTCTGACTAGAAGCTTTTAAGCAATAGTTCGAGTATTGTGATTGAAGTGCAAACTTCGGTTTTGGTTTCGTTTCAAGTTGTTGTGATTGTGACTTGGTTATAGATTTTCACTGGAACTAGGAAAAGTCTTTTATCACAGCGGTGATTAGAAGTGAGTGGATTCTCAGATCTAGGAGGTGACTAGGGAGAATTTGCACTAGGTAGTGATTAAATGATAAGTTGTAAATATGGGATTTTAGATTAAAATTAATACTACTAATAATGGATTTCCTTTCTGACTTGGTAGCCTCTAGAGTAGGTGAGTTGCACTGAACTGAGATAAAAATTCTCTGTGTTCTTTTACCTTTTTGCACTTTATAATTCTACAATGTTTTAATTTTGGTAAAAGCTTATGTTCTAACAGCAGATGTCATAACATCCATCGTGACATTGTGATTGTACGTTGAGACATATATCTTGACATCTACATTGTGTGTTCCAGAATTTCAATTGGCATCAGAGCAGTCACCCTGGTCTGTTTATTGGGTGAGCTCTAGGGAAAATATTTTATGGTACTATAGACTAGGAAGAAGGATATGAAAACAAGCCACCTTTGTTGGATGGTTCAAACTATGATTGGTGGAAGGTCATAATGGTATATTTTCTTAAATATAAGGACAACAAAGCATGGAAGGATGTTTTAAAAGGATGGGTACATCCAGTGGTGAAGGACAAAGAGGGAAAGGAATCTATTAAACCTGAAGAATACTGGGATGAAAATGATGACAAAGAAGCCATTGGAAATTTCAAGGCTTTGAAAATGGAGTTGACAAAAATGTGTTTAGGCTGATCAATATATGTACGATAGCAAAGGATGCTTGAGAAACCCTCAGGATAACTCATGAAGGTATATCCAAAGTAAAGATGTCAATTCTACAACTTCTCACTACCAAGTTTGAAAGCTTAAAGATGAATGATGATGAAACTGTTCAGGATTTTCATATGAAGATTCTTGAGGTGGCTAATGCATCAAGCTTCTTGGGAGAAAGAATGTCACAAGAAAAATGGTAAAGAAGGTTTTTAGATCTTTACCTAAAAAATTTGACATGAAGGTTTCAGCCATTGAGGAGGCTCAAGATGTCATAAGCATGAAAATGGATGAACTTATTGGATCTCTTAAAATCTTTGAGTTGAAAATGAGTGAAATATTTAAGAAGAAGAACGAGAGTAGTGCTAGTATTCTTGACTCTAACGCAAGACTGTAAAAATGATTTATGCTCCTTGAAAAAACATTTAACTAGTTATTAGACAAGATAAGATCAAAACCAGATGTTCAGAACATTTCTTCTGACATCAGAAAGGGTAGTAATGTTAAAAGTGTGGAAACTACAAAGAATTTAGCTATGACTGGAAGGTATGAATCTAATATAGATTCATGTGATGAGGATCTTACCTATAAAGAGCTGGTAAGTCTTTATAAAGATCTATGTGAAAAGTTAAGAAGTGTGTAAGATGAATGAAGCGCAGAAGAAGGTCATAACTCAACTTCAGAAAGAAAAACAAAATCTTCTATCTGCAAACTCTGATCTTGATAAAAAGTTAACCTTG